AGTATGTCAATCGTGTAAATTTAAATGCTTAATGCACCAGAAAATCATCTAGGCTGTAAAGCTGAATAACAGCGATGTTGAGGTGATTTTGAGCTTTTGATGTTATAACTGTTCAATATGTAAGTGTTAGACTAGACTTAAGGTCTCCCTCCCTCAAAATAACCGAACTTACTAAAAACTTCTTCGCTTTATAACCTTAGCAGTACTTTACCTTACGTGTAAGTACTGAGGAACGAAATCAAAGTAAAAAGACTTGAGATGGGAAGTGTGTCTGGGACGGAGTTGTATTTTACACAAATGAAATATCAAATTTAATAAATATAAAGGTGTTATAAAACTTATCTGCTGCCTTTACTGGTGGTAGGCTCGAAGAGTGCGCTGAATCAAAGCACAACGCGAGAGAGCGAACCAAGTATGTACCGGAGTTACAAATCAGAAGATTAAGTAGCGCCAAAAAGTGGGTGAGAGCGTTGAAACAAAAGTTCAAAGGTTCAGTGTACACTACAGATAGAACCACAGATTCCAGCAATGAATAATAGTCTTTTTCCCATCTTTGCAACGATTTGTGACTGCGCGTGTCTCAAAGAAGTTTTGCTAGCTACAAAGTAGGACACATATCCCTTTTCTGTGTTCAAAACATAACGAGTCGGTTTGGGTCGTTGTACTCATGTCTTCGAGTTGAATTCCAGCTTTCACTGGTGATAATATGCCGACCGAGCGTCACGTTAATATCGAACTATCTTTTAAGTCATCACAACGAAATATTAATGAAAAAGAAATAATCCTGGGAGAATAATATGTCACTGAGTTGATATTCAGAAAATTGTCATAAAATTATTACGATCGATACCATTAATAAAGTAATTGTCATCACGTGTTTGTTACAGATATAAGTCTGACTGATTTACAAAGAAATAAATAGGTCAGTGTACTTTCCCAAAACATCAATAATTGCTATAAGGACGTTAAAACAATACTTTCTAACAAAGAAAGAAGTCCTTTCCATTGAATGTAGTTGGGAAGAATACTCTAACAATAGTTCCAGGTACAAAAGTTGCACTTAGGCGAAGTAAATTACATAAAGTATTTGATCCTTGATATGAAATAGAAAAGCGGACAAGCCTAGTTTACAAACAATGTAGTGACCCATTTTATTACTCATCATCGTACTATACTTTCATTGTGTAATTGTACTTCGATTTGTTTATTACTCTAAATCTTGCATGTTAACAATTGATACATTTGTACTCGCTCAAGTTTTGAATTTTGATTACGGCGAGAATAAACATTCCTACACCTTCTCAAGTGTCTTCTGATTTACTTTGTGTGTGTCGAGTAAGCACAACGTTAGGACACAATTATAAACGAGAAGAAGTACTAGGATATATGTGTACGCTAGTTTAATCAAAATATAGCAGCACAACAACAGTATGCCATGCAATAAGGACACGGGAAGGCATGTTAAAATTATGCTGAAGAAGATCAATCTTGATTAAGTGAAACCGGATGCATCGGAAAAATTTATTACACTAAATGCGAAGTAATGAAAATGAAAAAAATAGTGTAATGCGTTTTGGAGATAAGAATTTTAAAAAAATATCCTTATCCCTGTCGTGAATATATAAGTGACTTTAACACGCTTTTTCTAAATTGTGATGCAATCACCTGAGAATAAGGGATAACTTATGGTACATGGATTCATCACCAGACAGTAAACAATATCATGTGTCCAACCCTCACTGTCACTGGTTACTCACTTCCATCAATGTGATCACTGAACCAGGTAAGACATCATTGTGGTGCATTTTAGATGGATGTTAGGTAGTTGTGGACACGCATTGCTCACAAGAGTCAATGCCCCTGTGACACTCTATTTAGGATACATCAGTTGGATGTACACGCAACCTTAGTAAGTGATGGATTTCCCATAAAGGCTCGAACTATGCACCAATCTTTTCAAATAATAAACTGTTATTTATTCTCTCACAAGTACCGAATCCTGCGAAACGAGTGCAAGTTGTTATTTCTTGAAGTTGTTATACCTAACCAAAATCAGGTGTTTTGAACTCATTCTTTTCTCTGAGCCAAGTAGAACAGGGTACACCTCCGATAAGCTCAGACACAAACGAGCGAAGCAGACCTCCGGTGTTTAGATCACTCTGATCTGACCGGTGGACATTATGGATTGATGTGACTGGCACATACCTATAGATCTCATTTAGTCAGTAGTATGTCTGCCTTCTGAATTGACAGTTAGAGAATTCGATTCGAGACCAACAAGTGTCATGCATCTAGTTTACTGTCTGCTACAGACAGAAATCTACCGGTCAAGTCTGCTATGTGACCACCAACAAACCAGCTAATTCGCCACTATGGTTCACCCTGAATTGTTGTTATTAGATGGTTGGAGGCAATCAACAGGAAGCCTAATCCGAACCACGTTTCTGATATATAGACCTAATTTTCTTGATGTCATATTTACGTCTCCCTTTGTATTTCTCTCAACCCACGTATGACCTTCGAAATCCCACTGGGCTTGACCGTTTTAATTTGTCAATGTTATTAGTGTCTCTCGTGCTCATTTTAAAGCACATATATACGCAAGCGCTGTCAATCATTTTGACTGTTATTCTCAGACAGTAAAACCTCGCTGATCAACGGTCAGTCTTTTCTTTCGTCTTTGCGTGCCTGTCGTGTTATTCTTGTTGTTGTTGTTGACGTGCGATGAGGACAGATTAGCCAGAGCTTGTAGTCTGGCACTCACTAGTCAGCAGGGTGTATCTACAATTTTGAAAGAACAACAACTCCTCTCCCTCCTGAGGTTCGAACCCGAGTCACCAGCCAGGTGCTTTAGTCAGATATGTTACCATTAGTACTGAAACTAGGCTTAAGCCTTCCCTCCGATTTTCCTCAACCATCTAATAACAACAACAAGTCAGAGACTTCATTCATTAGTGAAATATAAACCGTAAATTCGTGGAGTATTGAAAACAGTCCTTTGAAAATAGGCGCCTAGGTTCAGAAAACTCGAAGAAACTACATTGAGGTAGTCGAGAGACTGTGGAATGGCTTACAGCATATACCAAATTTAAGTGTATGCTATTCCAGTTTTGCGAATTTTATGCTCTCGTGTCTTTGTAGATTTGTTGTCACACTGTCATCGTATACTAACGTATACCTTAAGGATTTTTGCTTTTATGTGATTCGATGTTCTTGAGAAAAGCATTTAATGTTGTCAGCACCAGTTATTCCTTGACTAATACGGAAATATGACCGTAGAACCTGATGAAGAGGAAGCTGTCGAGAAGAACATTCTTCACTTTCCTCATAATTTGAAGCATTGTTTTGTGGCCATTTGACTGATCACTGATTGAATTCAGTTGGAAAGCCACTGAAATGTAGAGGGTACTGAAGAGTCGCTTCGTTTCTGTCTGGGATTCCTCAATAATACGAATCTAAGACTTCACCGGGCAAATCACAATCCTACCGAAAATGGTGTATTTCATGGAACAAGTAGAAAATGAAGAAACGGTCAGTGTTAATTTAACGCTTTAAAGCCCTATCTAATCGTTTTACTTTGTTCCATTGACAAACGTTTATTTCAAACTTTCCATGACTTCATGATCTTTCTTATTACGCCTAGCATCCTAGGTGTACTTAGTGACTTTCTAACTAGTTAATACATTTGTGTACACAATCCTTTTCATTCCACTTCATCGAATTCTATGTGACCTGATAATCGTTCACTAATACCACTTTAGTGTTTACACCACACTATCGTTATAATTTAATCGCTTCTATTCGACGTTCGAGAGCGAACCAACTTGAGTTGGTGGACCGCTGAGTGCAAGGAGTACTCTTGATGACGACTGTCTCGTGTGTGTTCGGGGCTCTTCACCAGTACGCACTCACAACCCCACGACAGATAGAATGCAGTACCGCCATCCTTAAACTCTCGTCTAGTGCACCCCGTTTGTTTGTGTGTTTCTCTATCGTATCCATACTGTTTATCATCACATCACTGACTACAGTCACTCTTGAAAGCTGTACACTTTTGTCGAATATACATACAAATATAAAACGCACATCTCTGAATTATTTCACCTCATGTTCTTATTGACTATGCATTTGATGTGGGTTTAAGTGATAGTGAGAACTCACTGACTGTTATTTCACATTGTGCTTGCACCACGGAATACCTATTTTGGTAGGACTCTAATTTGCCTTCAGGCACTATCGTGTGCTAAAATTAATAGTTGCATAAATGTAGAATGTGAAGGAGAATTGCTTGAAGATAATTGTCCTCCTCCCTAATTACTTTTGTTCTAAATCATACAACTTGAACTTGTCAACTTTTATGATATTTCAAGTATGATCACGGATTGATATCAGTTAAAGAGGCATGAACTCCGTGTAAACGAACTGTTGAAAATCATTCAGATGTTCAGTAGTGTGTACTGGCCAGCTACAGGACGAAGTTGACACGAGTGAGTTCTAGGGGGATGTCCAATGGCCAGTGGTGTCCCCGTTGTTTGAGCGAGAAGAGACATACTCGCCACAGATGACACTGCTGGCTGGTAACAGTCACGCTAAATATAACATGAATTTTTAGAGGTTACAATTCACGCGGTGGCCAAGCATTGAGTCGAATCTCATTGGCTGAATAGTCTACTCTCTTGACTTGTAACTGGAATGCCTTGTATCGGAAATCCAGTGGATCTGTACCTTTGATTACTCACTGGCAGTCTAGTCTGACGAAAAATCTTTCCAATACTGCTTTTCTCAATGGTTCTCTAACTGATATCAATCCGTGATCAAACTTAAGAAACAAATCAAATCCCTGGAATAAACACTTGAACATTTTATGAGATTTCCATATATTTGTGCTTAGAAACAAGGTTCCCAATTAAGATACAACGTAAAATTTCACTCAGTAAATACAGCAAACACACATACACATGCACACACACAGTGTAACAGTTTTGAAACAATTTACACACGTACACACACACACAGAGATAGGGGATCACTTATGAACATTTCCATATTAATATTGCTAATGTAGCATTAAAATATAGAAAGATTAAATATTTAACATCGTGTGTAATTTCAACACCATAGCCTTCACCGATAACAACGTGCCAACCGGGTGCCGCTTTCTGATCTAATGTCTCTTTAACCATACGGGCAGCTAGCTAAACAACCACAGATATAAAAGAAAAAAATATTAAATCAATTCAAGAAAATGAACGAAATATTCCCATATTCAGTCCTAAGATAAAGGCACAAACAGCGAAGAAAATTTTGCTTTTCGACGATTCATTTTCATGAGCAATGCTTCTTCATACAGATTTTATATTAAAAACACTATCGCCTTTCCACTAGTTCCTGTGCATTCTACACGGGCTTATCGATTAGTCATTATCTCACACTTATTACGTCATGCCTACCTCTGTCTCTTTTCTAACTTACAATTAGCCAACCCCCTTCTTACACCTTACATTATGTAAAACAATTTTTCAAGGACAACGTTTTCCAGTACCTGATTGGTCTAAAGATTTCTTTGTTTAATATAATTACGACATTGTACAGCTCATGAAAATGAAAAAAAGAAAATTTTCTTCGCTGTTTGTGCCTTTTTCTTAATTCAAGAAAAAACGATGTAAACTGTTAGGATACAAGGAAATATATATATATTATGGCACACCAGTGTTTAATTCTTATGCTGAAGCCGAAAATTTGACTGTAATTTACATGAGGGGTTACATCACTGTACATTTACTGGTACATGTTACCCAGTCAAAATATAGCTGTTTAAAGACTGATAATGATAATGAACCCAGTTAGAGGATCACCAAAAACCAGAGAGTAGTGGAGAGCTGTTTCATCCTACTTTGGGACTCTTCATCAGTACGGACCATGACTCTACTTGAAGTCGAACCCAGAAGCTTCAGGTAACAAGGCGAGCTAGTATACCATTCAGTCACTGGAAGAGAAACTAATAGTCTAAAAATTCTAACTTCTATGAGTTTATGATGTGTAGCGTTACTGCCAGGTAAGTTTACATGATCAATAAATCAGTAGTTGAAGATATAAAAACTAATTGTATAATTAGCTATAGTTTATATTCATATTACGACTTCAAGTGGACATAGAGAAGACGAAGGTGATGAAGATAACCAACCAACCAACCACCACAAAAAAAAACAATCACTATCAACAGAATAAATTTGAAAAAGACCACTTCCTTCACTTATCTAGGAAGCGTCGTCTGCACTACTGATGACTGCACGGATGATATCAAAACCAGGCATAATTAGAAAGGCAAGACAGACATTTATCACTCTGAAATCAGTTAGGAAGTTCTCTGCATTCAGCAGCATAAGTAACACAATTCGTATTTTCAACATGATGTTAAATCAGGGATTTATTTTATGTGGGGGTCAGAGATTTGGCTCGAGAGTCACAAAAAGCATTTCAAACGGGATAGTGAAGACTTTTCTCAACAGCTGCTTTCACTGGCTCCACAATGAATATATTAGATGGCTTAACAAAAAGAATTAGCATTACGGAACCCTGTGAATGAACCATTCAGTAACTAAACAAATATATAATGAAGAAAACCCAGATAGATCGGACACACAGATGAAGAAACTGTTGGGTAACATCAAATGCCAAACAAAACGTCGACTGGAATCCGAATGGGAAACGACGAGTTCAGTGTTTGAAGATGACACGGAGGAGATGATATAGGGAGGAAATGAAAACCTATCATTAGTCATGCAGTCGGCTGAAGAGGACTGCATAGGACGGTTTCAAGTTGGATTTCATTACGACATCAGTTGGGCAACCATTGAAAATTAGACAGTATTGGACGGGATTTTTGGCCTAGTAGTTCAGTACTCTGAATCTCTAAGTTACTCCCTCGTTCTTAATAGCCGTCTAACTAATAACGTAATGAAATCTAACACGAAATTAATAAAATTCCCGCAAAGGAATATTTGAAGATAACAAATTTGTTTAAAAATTCAGGATTATTCAAACCTGGATGGCCAAGGTAATGATAATGACTGGACTAACTTCTTTTGGGTGCATAAATTAGGCTTATTAATATGAATCCCCACAGCCTCAGCAATATTTAGAAGTCGAACTCTTAAGGCGAAATTGAGATTCGTAGGTATGCGGTAAATGACCCTGAAAGCATGATTAACGTCAATCTTATGTTCTGTCTCCATAAGATGCGCCAGAATAGCGCTGCGAATAGATTTTGTTTGACCTTTGCTTAACCAGGCAGAATGATGTTCGGAAATTCGACGAGAAAGACGCCTAATTGTACGGCCTATGTAACTGGCTCCACAGGAGCAGTTAAATTGGTATATACACATGGAAGAGGCGAAATTAGGCAGTTTGTTTTTTATTCCCGAACGCAGAAGAGGAGTGGTTTTAAAGATACAGCGTAATTGAGCAGCAGGGAATGTTCTTATTACCGCATTTCTAAGGCGATGTGTTAGTATCTCACTTGTGTTGTCTCCTAGGAACTGCATCTGTAGGAACAAGGCTTTCTTTGGAACTGTTGGTAACTTGGACTGTTTTGGTTTTAGATTCATATTCTTATCAATAAACTTTTCGGGATAACCATTCTCACTTAGCAACCGTTTAATATTGTTAAGCTCCTCGTCGTTATTATAATTTAAGCATCTTTAATGAACTGCAATAGCATTGATCATACTTTACAAATCGATATTATTTAAAAAAAACGCTAATATTGTTATTAACTACTAATTTAAAATTTGTTTAAAAAACAAACAAACAACTAACTTCATTATTATTTGAATATTTTTCACATGCTGTTACGCATAATTCAATAACTTCAGTTTGTAATTCTTCATTCATCTCACTGTACTGTACACCAGATAAAAAATATAAAGATGATAGAAAGTTAGACAAAGTAAAGACAAAATAACTTCCACTAAAAAAAAAAAACAAAGTTAAAACTGTATAACTGAAAGTGTTTCCCTTTAAGAGTTGAACATCTTATGCATTCTTATCCACAGTATTTTTTTTTTGATAAACAATGTTAAATCTTTAAATATTCCCATTTATAATATTAGAACAAGACATATAAGCGAACAATATTGTTTTCAATTAGATCTTCTTCAGGCTTTACTCTAATTTACATAGATTTATATGTAAAATTTTAACCAATGACGGTGATTTTGGGAATCAAATAATAATCTTAACAGTCTTAATAATAATAATAATAATAATAATTAATAATATAATGTGGTAAATGTTTTGAACGTAGTTAATAACGATGATTATAATGATAACAAAATATTGATAATAAGGTTTATGCAGGTGATAAGAATAACAAAGATAGTATATGTATATATATATATAAATATAAATTGGGTCAAATCTTAAAAAGGTGAAGTGGAACGATAATCAGAGTTTGAATAAATATTATAAAAGTACGACTGAGGTGGAAAATAAGAAAGGGTGGGAGGGTTTTGAATAGAATTCACCTAGGCCAAACTTCTTTTGTATGCAAAGACTAGGATTGTTCTCTCGAATTCCCATAGCTTCGGCTAGGTGTAAAAGACGGGTTCTGATTCCGTTCGAAAGACTCGATGAAATACAACAGATAACTTTGAAAGCACTATTTTTGTCCACTTGGTGACCACTATCAATCAAATGAGCCAAAATAGAACTTCGTATGAATTTTATTTGACCTTTTCCGAACCATGAAAGATGCTCTTTAATGCGTTTGTTAAGCTGTCTAGTTGTTCGCCCTATATAGCTTTCTCCACAGGAGCAACTAAATTTATAGATACACATCGAAGTGGCACAACTAGGTAGCTTATCTTTCACTTGAGCAATCAAAATTGGTCGGCTGGAAAATGACAAACAAAGGGTGGCGGCAGGATAAGTCCTTTTTATAGCTCTCGATAATCTCAGATGTAAGACTTCACTAGCCACGTCCCCATTAAATTGAAGTTTCATGAACAGTTCTTTCTTTTTAACTGTTGTCAGTTTTTCTTTGTTGTACCTGGTATTCATGTGTCTCCTAACAAATCTACTAGGATAACCCATTTGGACCAGCGTTAATTCAAGTAAGAATAATTTGGAAAATGACAAGTGATAATGCGATCAAAACTTGGCAATAGTTCATGAAGTCAGTTTCTAGGAATTTTGACTTCATTTAATTTTGACCACGGATTGATATCAGTTATGGAGAGGTTTTTGCGTCAGATTACTCTGCGACTCATCAGAGGCATAGATCCACTGGATTTACGAAACAGGACATTCCGGTTACATATGCATTCCTACCGGCGTCCGACAATCACTATATTTCTTGACCTAAAGGCGGCATTCGATTCTGTCGACCGGGAGGTTCTCTGGCGATGCTTGGATGTAAAGGGAATGTCGAGAAAATACATTGCACTGATTAAGGCACTTTACTCGTACTCATGCAGCTAGGTGAGGGCTTATGGCGAGTTGTCATCTGAAGTGGTGGCGACAAGTGGCGTCCGTCAAGGATGCCCATTATCCCCATTCCTATTCAACTTCATCATAGACGTACTAATGGACTTAACCCTAACACAATTCAGCGACTCAGGGATTGACTTGCTACCAGGGAATAATCTCGTCGACTTAGAATATGCGGACGACATAGTCCTTCTAGGCGAGGACGCTGACAAAATGCAGAGTCTACTGAACACCTTGAGCAACAATCTTCGTATGTTTGGCATGCGATTCGCCCCTGTAAAATGTAAGATGATGCTGCAGGATTGGACTTCACCGACCCCTAGATTAGAAATAGGAAGTGAAGTGGTAGAGCACGTTGACCACTTCAATTACTTGGGAAGTACCATCAGCCCCAACGGGTTGATCTCCGACGAAATCTCAGCACGAATGCAGAGGGCTAGGTTCGCATATGCCAGTTTACGCCGTCTCTGGCGTAGACGTGATATCCGACTGTCAACCAAAGGGCGTGTGTACTGCTCAACAGTCCGCTCCGTCCTCCTTTATGGCTGTGAGACCTGGCCATTGAGAGCAGAAGACATGAAAAGATTAGCTGTGTTCGATCATAGGTGTCTGCGTTCTATCTCCCGCGTGAAGTGGTATAATAAGGTGAGCAATATTGAGGTTAGGCGTCGAGTGCTAGGTAAGAAGGGGAAATCAGTCGATGAGACTGTGAAATTACATCGACTGAGATGGTTAGGACATGTGCTACGTATGCCTAGTCATCGCCTTCCTCGACGGGCAATGTTAGCTGATATAGGATCAGACTGGAAAAGAGCTAGCGGCGGTCAAACCAAAACATGGCACCAGTCAATGAAATCCACAACAGTTAGTTTAAGCCATCCACGTAAGCAGGTGTAGACTTCCTGACTGGTTGGGGTCCTCGGGACGGTAAAAACCAATGGTTGGAAACAATTGGTGACATGGCTTAAAATCGTTCTCAGTGGCGCAGATGCATCCACTCCTTGTGACTTATGATTTCCAATGAAACTGTTTTGTTCTCCGTTATTACTATTCCTTTGTCTCACACCTCTGTTTACTGTCTCTAATATGCATTTCTCCTACTTTCTTCTCTTTCTTTGTGTGCTACATGGAGTGTGGTGACTTGAACTGCCGCACATATGTGCAAAGTTCTATGTCGAAAACCGACCGACTGACCGACCGAGTTACATGTCAAGCGAGTAGACTACTCAGCCAATGAGATCCGACTCAGTGGTCACCGCATGAATTGTAACTTCTACAAATTCATGGTTTGTTTTTTTTCCAGCGTGACTGTTACCAGCCAGCAGTGTCGTCTGCGGCGAGTATTTGTCGTCCCTCTATAAAAATTATAAAGGTGAGGCTCATGCATATATAGCACAGAACTTTCTTCGAACCTTCCATTACACACAACCAGTGGTTCGAGCACTGTTGTATCACCCTTGGCATATCTAGTAAAAAGAAGTCATGAGAACAGTATAAGAGCATGTGTGACAGGCTGGGTGCCCTACTGCTCACTCAAGAAAGACATCGGCTGATGGTCTCGGTAAAATCCCTAACTGGAAGAAGTAAGAATTCATGGACTATTGAGTGTCGAGTCCCAGTGGCTCAATGGTCTACGAGCTTGACTTTCAGCGGGGAGGTTCTGGGTTTGAATCCCAGTGGTTGCGTACTTCTGATGAGTCCCAAACTAGATTGAAGAAACAGCTAGCTGTCTAGTACTATAAATACATTGATATAACTTGAGCACTGTGGTCCTATGCTAATCCGCGAAATGGTCGCGCTATGTCGTGAATTGGAAGAAGTTAGAATTCAAGGACCACTGGATCGGGTCCCAGTGGCTCAATGGTCTACGAGATCGCCTTGTAACCAGAAGGTCCTGGGTTCGAATCCCGGCGGGCGCGTACTGATGAAGAGTCCCAAACTAGGACGAAACAGCTGTCCAGTACTCCCAGGTTTTCCAGTGGTTCTCTAACTGATGTCAGCTCATGGTGAAATCCTCCATGTAATCCGTATTAGTTTGTTTATTAAATAAAATATATCACACACTGAAACAGTATTATGTATTGGGTGGCCTTTTGAACACAATTTATTGTGTGATCAAACTTTGAGCACTTTATAAAATTCATTGACTCCTGGTGTGAATCAAGCAGATGGGTTTAGATTAACAGATAGAGGTGTTCTCAAGAAGGATTGAAAGAATGTCACAACTCCTGACAAGTGAAGTGATTAACACGTCCAAACGTTTCCCTTCTAACTTAATATATCAATCCTGTAACATCACTCACTCACTATACATGGGTGAATCGCATGCCTAATATACCCAGATCTTTGTTCGAAGTGTTTGGAACTAACACACGACACTAAACAACATAGACGATGACTGTCTGTAATTACAGTATAAAGAAATTTAGGTTGGCTAAGTCAAGTTCCAGCAACAACGTAATCACATATAGTGGAAGACTGTAGGTGAAAAAGCTCAGAATTAATCACAGTAGTGAAGACATTTTCATACTTTATCCCTATTAAAACTGTGCTTTATAAAATCTTAACAGGAAGAGAATTAGTATGGTGTGACTGTAGAGCCCAGAGTACAAATCACTTGTTTGAAATGGTTTTTAGGATTGTTTCCGTAGACGACCTTACTGCTGGCACTTGCCAAAAAAGAAACAACAGCAAGTCGGCATGTGCACTCTTCGGCTTCGACCGTTTCATACCGCTTCCCTCTCCGAAATAGAGAGGCAGTACAGCTAGCTTGCTGGTCGATTTCAGGAAACACCTTAGTGTTAGGAGACCTGACAGGAAGCAGCTTAAATTGAAATCAACATTTTAGGTTAATATATGCACAGGTAGCGATGTTGATTTCTCAAATCTGGATCGATTTTATATAATATGGATATGAAATAACCTTGTTGGACAACTTCCCGTCTCATTGGCTAACCTTTAGCCAACTGCCGACCAATCAGCATATTTTCCGCTGACTAAGCCAAATTTTAATATGGCTAAAAATGTATAAATATTTTCCCTAACAAGAGTCGGTTTCCTAATGAAATTGCTTATTACAACCGTGTTGATTTCATCACATCATGAGGGACGTGGTGTTGAAACCACATCAACTTCTGTCCTAGTCCATTATTCCCATTCAGACAATTTGGATTTAATTTAATTTGAAGTGCTTCTTGTATAAGACGTTCTTTGTGATTTCCTGAATTTTTCTGTATGATTTCAATAATGTCAAAATCAATTTTGTGGCCAAATTTTTTATAGCATGTAGACCTATGGCTGATGATATTTCAAGTTTTTCTGGGTCATTTGGACCTCTCGGTGATGGAATATATGCTCCATGGTGTTTTATCACTTCTGATCTCGATTTCTCTCCAGGTGTGTTTAATGTATGT